TCTGGACCCTCTCCTTTGAAGCCAGGCATGCTGAACTTGGGCATTTTTATCTTGGGCATCTTCAGGTGCCAGTCTGGACCATGGACATCCACATCTGGTGCGTTGATGTCCACTTTGGGGCCTTTGATGTCAACTTCAGGAACCTTAATCTCACCTTCCACTTTGGGCAGAGACACGTCCACATCACCCTTTACTTTGGGGCCTTTCAGGTTTAAGTCAATGTCAGGCATGGAGATCTTGGGGGCTTTGATGTTCATCTCAGGCATCTTGAACTTGGGGCCCTTCAGTTTGCCCTCTGGATCTTCAATGCTAACATCAGGAATGTCAATGTCCACTTTAGGGCCTGTAACGTCCATCTCTGGGCCCTTGAGTTTACCTTCCACTTTTGGTAAGGACACATCCACATCACCCTTCAATTTTGGACCTTTCAGATTCAGATCAAAGTCAGGCATGGAGATCTTCGGAGCCTTGATGTTCATCTCAGGCATCTTGAACTTGGAGCCTTTCAGTTTTGCATCTGGACCTTCAATATTCACATCTGGAACATCAATGTCCACCTTGGGTCCTGAGACATCAAGGTCAGCCTTGGGCAGGCTCACATCAACTTCAGGGCCCTCTCCTTTGAAGCCAGGCATGCTGAACTTGGGCATTTTCACCTTGGGCATCTTCAGGTGCCAGTCTGGACCATGGACATCCACATCTGGAACATCAATGTCCACTTTGGGGCCTTTGATATCAACTTCAGGGCCTTTGAGGTCTCCTTCCACTTTAGGTAGAGAAACATCTACATCACCCTTCACCTTTGGCCCTTTCAGGTTCAGGTCAACTTCTGGCATTGAGATCTTGGGTGCCTTGAGATGAAGATCAGGCATTTTAAACTTAGAGCCCTTCAGTTTCCCTTCTGGACCATGAATGTCAATATCAGGAGTGTCGATGTCCAGTTTAGGGCCTTTGACATCCACTTTGGGACCTTTCAAGTCCCCTTCTGGTTTAGGAATAGAAATGTCCAAATCTCCTTTTAGCTTAGGTCCTTTCATATTCAAATCAATGTCACTCATTGAGATTTGTGGAGTTTTGAAATGGACATCTGGCATCTTAAATTTGGGGCCTTTGAGTTTTCCTTCAGGACACTCAATGTCTATTTCTGGCCCTTTTAGATCACCTTCAACCTTAGGGAGTGAAAGGTCCACATCTCCCTTAACCTTAGGCCCTCTCAGATTTAAGTCAAAGTCAGGCATGGAGATCTTCGGAGCTTTGATATGCATGTCTGGCATTTTAAATTTGGGTCCTTTTAATTTTCCTTCTGGACCTTCAATATTGACATCAGGAGTGTCAATATCCACACTGGGGCCCTTAATATCAACACCAGGACCCTTTAGTTCACCTTCCATTTTAGGCAAGGAAACATCCACATCTCCCTTCAATTTAGGACTTTTCAGATGCAAATCCAAGTCAGGCATAGAGATTTTGGGTGCTTTAATGTTCATCTCAGGCATCTTGAATTTCGGACTTTTCACTTTTACATTTGGCACTCCAACATCCACATCTGGAACATCAATGTCCACTTTGGGGCCTTTGATGTCAACTTCAGGAACTTTAATCTCACCTTCCACTTTGGGCAGAGACACATCCACATCACCCTTCACTTTGGGGCCTTTCAGGTTTAAGTCAATGTCAGGCATGGAGACCTTGGGGGCTTTGATGTTCATCTCAGGCATCTTAAATTTGGGACCTTTTAAGCTTCCCTCTGGACATTCCACATTGAAATCTTGGCCCTCAATATTCATACTGGGACCTTCTATATTGATGTCTCGTTTTGGCAAACCCACAGAAACATCAGGTCCTTCTGCTTTTATGCCAGGCACACTGAACTTGGGCATTTTCATCTTGGGCATCTTCAGATTCCATTCTGGACCATGAACATCCACATCTGGTGCATTAAGTTGAACATCTGGTGCTTTAATGTCCACTTTGGGACCTTTGAAGTCTCCTTCTAAATTTGGGCCTGCTGCATCTAAGTCTCCTTTGACTTTAGGACCTTTCAAGTTTAGCTCCACATCGGGCATGGAGACTTTGGGAGATGAAATGCTCAGGAAAGGCATTTTAAACTTGGATCCTTTTACTTTACCTTGGACTTCAACTTCTGGAGCATTAATATCAACTTTTGGAACTGTTATATCAACATCTGGCTTTTTAAGTTTGACATCCACTTCAGGTGTTTGAACTTTGGACCCAGAAAAATTAAATTTAGGAAGCTTAAAGCGAGATTTCTTTGCTTTCCCATCAATATTGATCTTGGGAGCAGAAATGTCCACTTCTGGGCCCTTCACATCCACCTTTGGAGTTTTAATGTCACCCTCCAGTTTGGGTCCAGAGATATCAACATCTCCTTTGACCTTTGAGCCCTTTAAATTCAAGTCAATTTCTGGCATGGAGATTTTGGGCATGTTTACATGCATATCAGGCATTTTCATCTTGGAACCTTTTAATTTGCCCTCAGGACCATGGATTTCAATATCTGGAACATTTACATCTAATTTTGGGCCCTTTAGGTCAAGAGACGGGCCTTTCAAATCACCCTCTATATTTGGAATGGAAACGTCTACATCTCCTTTCACATTGGGGCCTTTAAGATTAAGATTCAAATCAGGCATGGAGATCTTAGGAGCCTTGATGTTCATCTCAGGCATCTTGAACTTAGGACCCTTCAGTTTTGCATCTGGACCTTCAATATTCACATCTGGAACATC